ACCCAGGTTTTATGACTTGACAGAATTACCCAGTATTAAACATGGTTTAGGGAACAGAATATACAGATTTTGCCTTTTCATTCACACATCTTTCATTCTAGCACTATTCAGGATATTGACTGGCTCTCTACAGACTACCCAAGAATACATTACCCAGAACTAAGATTAAAAAAAATAATAAAAATTAATGCTTAATTCAACTTAAATAAAGGTAATAACAAGAAGAGGATTTGAACAGTGAAATTAGTCTTCTGTCTCTACAGTTATTTTTCCCATACCAGACTGTATGCATTAGATTCACGCTTGGGGGAGAAACAAAGCAAAATAATCACTGAGGTAAGATCTCCATGCAAATACAGGGAAGACATCACTGCTAGACCTCTAGCTGCATTTGCAGAAGCCATAAAAATATACAGTAGAGACACAAACTTTGAATAGCTTCAAAAAAAATAAGACATTTGGCAACCACATGTCCGAGACCATTCCCTGAATTTGATTGCTGTACCATTGGTCCAGACCAAAAGATTTCAATAAGTTGTCCTGGTTCTCAAGTTTTATCCTCAAGCAGAGTCTTTCTACCAAGTTCCTTTGCAAATCTGCTCTTCCTGAGAAGGTTTGAGAGGGTGGGGGCAGGGGGTGCACACATCTATACAAATGTTTGTTTTCTTCTGGAAAAAGAAGAGAAAAAAAAAAAGAGCCCCAAAAAATTTTCCAGCATCCACTGTAATGTAATAATACATGCAGCTGTCAATACACAGCAGCATTCAAAATAAATAATTAGGCAATTTCACTACCTATTTAATGGTCATGACAGACAGGAGCAGCAGAGGTATCATTAGTTGCCATCCAGATAAGTTGGGCTTTCTTCTGCTAACAATGTCTATAAAAATTGATAAAAACCTTATCTTGCTATAGAAATCCTCGTGGTGAAACACTTCTCTCCATCACTGCTGGGTAGTGTTAACACCAGGAAGGACTTCTGCTGCAGTGTTCCTCCATGAAGAACAATTCCAGGATTCTAGGGTCCCAATTCTGACATTCTCAACATGCTCTGATGAAATTAGTAGCTCTCAGAACATCTGACTTACAACTCTATAAGAGTTATTAGAGAAAGAAATTCAGCTCACAAGAAGAGCTGTAATAATTTGCAATATTAATAGTTACTTGGCTGAACACCCTTTTTCACTTCAGTGGATTTGTTGGAAGTTGCTCCACATGCTTTCCTACAGCTTTGCTGCTTCACTCCAACAATTCATTCAGGCACACGCTCGCTGGCCACCCTCCCGCAGACTGGATCTGTACATTTGACTACTTCAGGGGAGAAAAAAAATTCAAGCTTTACTTGCCTCAAGGCACTTTAACTAAAGATTTACAGACTTTGTGGGTCAGGTTTCAAGTTGCTTTAGCAAACAATTTCAAACCATAGACATTTACCAGAAGATTAGAATTTGTTTAAAACTGAGAAGTAGAATCAAAAGCTGAGACATTTTACAAGAAAACAGCACATGCTTCTTTCTTCTCGAACTCTTCAAGGGGCATCACTCCTAAAACAGTAAAGCATGTGTTGGGGGAGATGGACTGTGTCTCCCTTTCATTCACAAGGGTGAACTTGGTGGTGGACTACAGAAAGGGAGAGGCAGAGGCTGCCCTCCCACATCTTGAGGCAGGAAGGCAGTCTGGGATATTTAATAGCTGGGGGAAGAATGCATTGGTTTGGAGGAACTGCTTTTGGCTTGCTTAAGTTATAATATGGAACAGAACACAGTAAAACAATTTTAACCCAGCTATTTCTAGCTTTGGCAAACAAGCTCTACCTTTCATAGAATGAGAGAAAATCCTGAGCTGGAAGGGACCCACAAGGAATGAGTCCAACTCCCGACTCTGGACAGGACAGCATCAAGAGTCACACTGTGTGCCTGAGAGCATCGTCCCACTGTTTCTTGGACTGCCAGGTTGGTGCTGTGACCACTTCCCTGGGGAGCCTGTTCCAGTGTCCAACCACCTTCAAGTGAGAAACCTTTTCCTGATGTCCAGCCTAAACCTCCCCTGATATAACTTCATGCCATTCTCTGGGGTCCCGTCACTACAGACAAATCAGTGCCTGCCCCCCCTTTCCCCTCATGAGGAAGTTGTAGACTGTGATGCAGTAGACTCTTTGGTCTTTTCTTCTTTGAGAAACTATTTCCAAGTTGTGGTATTCCAGTGTTTTATTCTCAGCATGCACCATCTGCCCGGCTGAGACGCCAAGTGATAGCTGAGTGAGTTTGATCAGCACCACTTGCACCAGGCAGAGCTCAGAAAGTGCCAAAAGCCTCAGATGGAAGAAGCCAACACCACTAACCAGCACTGGCTTCTGTAGAAAGGACACCTGAGAAGAGCTTGAGTTTTGCACAGAAAATGACCATTCTTTCCCCTAGAGAAGTAGACATCCTCAATAGGCAGCTCCCCCAGTGACTCCAACTCATGTAACAGACAAGCAACATCCCCTCCCAATTCCCAACACATGAAACACAAGAGGTTGGGGACCACACTTTAAGAGGTTTTTGCACTATGAAGAGTACAGACCTTCCTTGTCTGCATTATCATAAAATATGCCTCAACGTGAACCTGAATTAAAGAACTAAGTCTTTCTTTAAGCAACACCAGACAGCAGATGCAATTTTTTGTTGTTATCATTCTTAATCAAGCTCTGGCACTTGGGTTTGAGTTGTTTGGAGGTTTGGGTTGCAGGGGGAAGGAGAGCTTGGAGTTTATTTGGTTTTGGGGTTTTGTTTTTTTTTTTTTTGTTGGTTTTTGTTGGGAACCGGCAGAAAAGGAAACTGACCAGGACAGTCTTCTTTCACCAAAAACTTCAGAAACATACAGGGTAAGATTTTTTTACGGTTTTGGGGTATTTTTTACTCCTCTTGGGATCTGACAAATACAGCTGATCATTCCTGTTACTAAAAAGCCCTCAGCATCAAGGTTAAAGGGGTTTTTTTTAAGTCTCACAGTCCAAAGAGTTCTCCACTGAAATACAGAAATATGTTAACAAAGCTTTCATTAGCAAAGGGAAAGAGTAACAGTTTACAAAGCTATTTTGGCTTGTTCCTTTAAATACATAGTAGCTAGTGTCTGTATGCTTTCATCTCCTCTAATGTTAGGGAGAAGCTGGTACACAAAACCATACCAAAACATCACAAGTTCAAGTTTGTAAATATTTGAAAATCTGCCTCATCTTCAAAACTAATTGTTTAATCATTAGGACTCACCAAGTTTCACTCTCAATCATGTATACACCACTTTGTTTCATCAAGACTCACAAAACCTTGGGACATGCCTCATTACCCTAAAAATATCATTACTCTTCCATACAACAACGGAAATGGTTAGTCTCGGCTTTTAATCCATCTGGATGCAAAGAGTAGAGAAACACAACGGTTCTTCTGAAACACAAACCACATTTCATAGGGAAATAAATATTTACATTTTCCTTTAACATTATGGAATTCCTAGCATCCTGTTTATCAATACCTTAAGGTTTGCAAGTTACTTGCTTTACAATAAAATGTTTCTCCAAGGGGCAAGTTTAAAAGCTATTTTAAAATGAGAACAGCTTTCACATATCAAAGGATAGCCACACAAATTAGATTGGACAGGGGGGAAGCTGGGCATATGTTTTTCTTCCCCCTACACAAACAGCTCACACTTCATACTCACATCACTTTGCTAGAGCTCCCACATGCTACTGGCAGGCAAAGACACAAAACCTTTTGTAGGAATGGTACAACCAGCTAGTATCATATGAAATATAATAATAATTAAAACGAATCCCCGAACCCTTAAAATGGGATTTTCAAAGACAACATTACATCACCTTAATGAAGCTTTTTAAAGCAAGCTTTGCCAATTTAAAGAAAGCAATGCAAGAAAGGTATACGTGAGGGAGGAATGCTTTAATTACTTAAACTCGCAGCTAGCTCTTACAAAACTGACACATGGGGAAGCCGGGACTGCTATAATTACCTACATTCACAGAGGACACAAAACTGACACTTGTGGAGGTCATTTGCCATACCCTTGCCTTTGGCTCTCTCAGTTCAACATTCTCAATAGATTTTAAGCACTAGATGTCATTGTTTTACAGAGGAAACAAAGAAACCTGAACTCAGTCTTGACAAGCTTATAAAGAAGAGGGGTAAAAAGTAGCAAACATCCTTTTTTGAGTACTTCCTCCTTCTATCTAAAGTTACTGCGATAGTGGTTCTGACTACATTAAGTTTAATCTTAAGCACAAAGAAATAAGCTTAATATGTTAAAATACATCTAAACCAGCACTCTAAAACTCCACTTTAAAAGCACACCATGACTCTAAGGGAGGCTGTTCAGTATCCCTAACATTTCTCAGCTTCCACGCCATCAGCCCCGCTCTCTCAGCCGATGCTGCCCTGGTCATACTCAGGTACTTCCAGGAGCAGCCTCCCTCCCCACGCTTTAGCACGTCCCGCACCGGTGTGACTCGGGGTAACGATACAGAAACACGGATATTTACGTCAAGCGCTATGTGCAGTCAGACAATCATGTTTAAAAATAGGAGAGAAGAAAATGAGTGTTAATTTCAGGTTTCTCTCTGTCCTGAACTCTTTCGAGACAGGAAGGAGTGTCTTTAATTCAGACTGTCTCGGAGCAAGCGCTACAGAAGTAATTTACAAGATGGCAAGAAATTATAAGCATTAATGACAGGCGGGCAACCGAGCCAGCCTTTAATTTAGATTGCGAGGAGGGGGCGGTGGCGATACTGCACAGACAGATTTCTGCAAGTTACCACGATACTTTCTAAAAATAGCAGTCCGCAGCTGCCGACAAAGAATCAAGGTTTGGAACTGCTGCCGGACGGCGGGGCAGCCCCGCGGGAGCGCGCTGCGCGCTCCACCGTTCGGGGCTGCGGCGGGACCCCGGCCTCAGGCAAGGACCGGGGGTACCGAGGGGCTGCCAGCCAGCAGGACCGAGAGACGGCTCACCTCCAGCCATCGCCGGGCTTCGGCGAACGCCGCCTGGAAGTCGCACTCGCTGTCCTCTTTCCCGTCCATGGCCAGCAGCGAGCGAGCGGGGGGCGGCCGGCGCTCGGCGGGGCGGGGGCGCGGGAGCGGCCGCTGTCATTCAGCTGCCTCCTTTTAACGCTGCCCGCGCCGTCTCCTCCCCCTCCGCCTCCTCCCCGCGGAACTCCCCCTCCCGGGAGCTCGCTGGCGCTCCGCGGCCGCAGGAATCCGAAGAGCCGTGGGCCGTGTGGCAGCGCCGGGACCCCCGGGGCAGCCGGACGCCCGGGAGGGGCCGCACCCCCGCGGCGGTGGCGGCTCCTTCCCGCCGGGACGCGGCGCCCCTCGCGCTCCCGGCCGGTGGAGGCCGCCCCCGGCGACTCCCGCCCCGGCGCATACCAGGAATAGCTGGGGACAATCGCACCTTTCAGGACCGGCCCCGCCGCCCCGGCCCCCGCCACCTGCCGCCCCGCCCGGCCGGGACTGCCCAGCGCGCCGCCGGCTCCCTCCCTCCGGCGGGGCCGCGGGAGCCCCGGGAGCCCGGGCCGCCTCCCTCACCTCCGCACCCGTGGGGCTTCCCGGCCAAGCACAGGCAGCGCCGCGATCGCGGGGAAGCGGCTCCACACTCTGCAGCGTTGTCCCGTTTGGGGACGAAGTCAGGAGCCTTTTCCACAGCTACGGGAGACACGAGAGCCCCACACTTTGTTTTGAGCCCTTCTCGTACAAAGTGACCGAGGCGGAGGCGCCCTGGCTGAGCTGGAGCCACACGACTCGGCTTCCATGCTTTCCTCCCCAGCCCCTTGGCCTCACCTCTGGTTTAGCTCACACTACCCACACTTTGCCCATTGCTCTGACTCATTCCTGTCCCCGTCCCCGGCTCACTGCAGCAGCCTTTTTGCGACTCCTCCACCCCACACGCTGTCCCAGGCTCAGAGCTACAGCTCTCAGTCCGTCCGTGGACCTGGGGGGGGGAAGCTGCGCTGAGCTCTGCCCACTGCGGTGACCACAAACGTGGGGCAGGTTGGGATCACGCTGTGCTTCAGCAAAGGGTCATCCACCCTGACCGAAGCACGGGAGCCAGGAGAGAGATGGTTTGCAGGCTGAACACAGTGAAATCCTTTCTTCCAATACAGGCGTGGACAAGTGCTAAACAGAAAAGTTAAGTATCAGGGAAAAGAGCCATTTTCTGTAATACTAATCCACAACATTAGGTTGTTGTGTTTTGGCTTTGGTTTGTTTGGGACTTTTGGACTACTAGGTTTCATTTAACGTTGTATTTAAGCTCTCTACTCCTGCCTGAAAGGAGGGTGTGGCAACGGGGAGCTCAATCTCTTCTCTCAGGTAACAAGCAACAGGACAAGAGGAAATGGCCTCAAGTTGCACCAGGGGAGGTTTAGATTGGATAAAAGGATAAATATCTTCAGAGCAAGCACGGTCAGGCACTGGCACAAGCTGCCCAGGGAGGTAGGGGAATCCCCGGTCCTGGAAGCGATCAAAATGTGTGGATGTGGTACTTGGGGACATGCCTAAGTGGTGAATACGGCTATGTTAGTTTAACATTGCGCTCAATGATCTTTTCCTACTTGATTTTTCTGTAGTATCTTTTCTTTCCATGTTTTCTCTGTAAGTAAAACTGAGTTGCTGCACACATATTTTGCTTTTATAGCCCATGGCACAACATACGTAATTTTTAAAGGGTTACTGACAAAAGGTAACTTAAAACTTGTACTACACACAGATTCATTTCTTCTGAGATGTTTACTTGGGAACACATCTTCTGTTTTAACAAAAAACCTTCTTAGAATGGAGAAGAAGAATTTTAGGAGATCAAAAAGCCAAGAAGCTATGAGCCATCAGTTTCTGCAGTATATGGAAATCAGTGTTGCTACTGTTACACACAGAAGGGAAAATGCAGTGACTCTGGCTTTAATAAGTTCCATGGGAGATGTTTGACATTTATTAAAGTTACAAATGCATAGAAGTTATGTAGTTAGCTCTTCATCATAGTGTGATTTGAGACATCTATGCTATGCTATAGAGCCAGCAAAGAATAGTATGATAACCAAAGCTGTAATTTTGAGGGGTTTTTCCTTACCCTTTTTTCCTGTTCCAAGCCAGATCAGCCACAAGACCAAATACAAATGAAGAATCTGCATTTTTCTTGAGTGGGAAGCCTGAACATCAGAAAGCAACCCTCTCATCTCACTATTTAACATCTATGATTACAAAGGTTAAAAATATCTAAATAAAACATGTATCAGCTGCTGCTGCTGGCTGACATTAGTTTGCATTACCTGATGTTACCAAACATTTTTCTGGACAACTACAGCAGCCTTTCTCCAGTTTTTAAGGTCTTGCACTCCATCTGAAAATACAGTGCTTGTTCCTAAGTAGGAGAAAGTAACTAAGAATTCTATAAAACAGGCTTCAAAAGAGGTCATGTTAAAAAAAAAAAAATCTCACTTATTTCTGGTTGCTTTATTTCACTTCATAACAAATCAATCACTTTTCGTACAAATGAAGCATTTAATGTTTTAAATCAAGTAATTTGAGTAATCATGTCATTTGATTAAGTGTTTAAGCAGACTGCATGGATCACAGTAACTTTCAAGTTGAAGTTCCTCACTAAGTAAAAAAAGTTCCAACATGTAAATCTCATTCTCAACGTGAATTTTAAATCAACTGTCATAGATAAATTATCTATGTAAGCCTGAGTAACCAAAATAGTTTTATTATTCCTTTGCACTAACAATGTAAGTCACCAGAGTCTCAGATCAGAGAAAGATTACATATACCAGATGCGAGTGCTAATTGTTGCTGTCTAAAGTAGCAAACATGATATTGTTCTACTTGACAAAAATAAACCCTTTCAATGTGTGTGCTCCTAGGGATAAGTCAAGCAATAATTTACGTCATATTCTTTTCAAGGACAGTTTTAGAAATATTTGATATAATAATATTTTCTACCAAGGCAGGCTTCTTTCTTTAAGGAATGACCATATTTATTTTGTCAATGTAGGCTGTTAAGTGACTTTATTTTCCAAAGCATACATTTCAATGTCAAAAACAACTTTCTTCCTCTTCCCTTAACTGAATCATGCAGCCACGATTGAAAGGAAAGGGCATTGTACTGGTTGTTAAATTATGATTTCTTAACAAAATGTCTGTAAATAACATAGGAAAACTTGCACCAATATACTTAAAAGAGCTTGAACAATCCTGAGTACTTAATAGCACACCAGCTCCACTCAGCTAAAATTAATGTAAGCATGGAGCATGCATCATCTCCTCACTCCTACACACACCATTTCCATAAGATGGTGTGTACAGCCAGCCCAGACTGCAGAGGCTGAAGAGGGATTTCCTGGCACTGCATGCCCGTGGCCAAGCCATGCTCCTCCACACAAAGGTGTTGAGGCTCTGGCAGGGCTGCACAAGTTAGAAAATACAGTGTTATTTTCCCACAGAGCTTGAGCTAATAAGCAGAGATTGCACAGCTCAGGCGATGATGCAGACATTGGGGCATTGCAGAGCCAAAAGCACCATGGGGTCTGCAGGGTTTATCAGCCTCTAATCAGGAGCTTGCTCGACTTTACAAGTCAGCAAGTGTTCATACCTCACTTTTTTTATCCACACTATACATGTTCTGTCAGTGATCCATATTCCAGCAGCTTGTAGATCTCTTAACTTCCTGTGCTCCTCGAGACAGTGCCAAAGCATGGTCACACAAGCTCTTGGAAGGCTGTTCCACTCTACATGTCAGGTGAGATGTATTTCTGCACTGCAGTCTTTCACAGTTTCTACCAAGGGACCATGCAGTGTAAAGATACAGTTCAGCCTAAAAACTATTGCATTGCTCTTCCTTTGGCATCTCAAAGCAGTGTTCACTAAAACCTACCATCTTACATATTAATAAACCAGAAATTAACACTGAAAATAAAATAGGGAAACCTTACCCTGCAGAACAACCGATTTGAAGGCTATGTAAATGTTAAGCAAAACTATAATATTGCAAAAATACTAAGAATTCTTATTTATGAGTTTTTGCTTAAGATTCAAGATGTATTTTTCATTGTGACCACAGAAAATCCCACTCCAACCTTACTATTCTAACCTTATTATCCTTTGTTCTGAATTTGTTTAATCAGTCCTTTTATCCAACAAGAAGCTCCACGTCTGAAGGGATTTTGTAATAAACAGCTACACAAAAATAGAGACACACCATTTACTACTTAAACTCACTGAAATCTTCTGAACACTGAAGATCATATATGATGAGGCCATTTCCATAGAGAAGACAACTTATGTAGCTTGTTTAACAGCTTTGAACTGCACTTCCTATCTTTCCTCGCCCTCCTCCCTATCCTAAAAGGGCCTTATCTATATTAACAATGGCTTACTTGAAAGGTAATCCTCCAAGTCACCATTAGCTTAAAATATGCAATATCCTAATTCAGTGGTGACAACCTTTATTTGATTTTGCTGATATTAGCAAGAAGGCAACACAGCTGGTTTGGTTCCTAAAGCCTCTGATTTTTATTTAAAAGCAAGTTTCAGGGCTTTACTAATGAGCATGGCAATGTAAAGCAAGTCTTAATGATACTGCATTTTATTGGGGTGAAAAAGCAAAAGTTTCAAAAATAGAAGCTCATTAGTGTAATTCTTCTCCCTTTGCTTTTCCAACCAGCTCACTTATAGAAAACAGACTGTTGTTACTGGACTCTCCCGGTGACACGTTTTAGACAGACACTCCAACTTTTTCTTTAGAGTGCAAGAGATGTTCTTAAGCGATAGGACAGACTCCCAGGCCTCTTTCTTTTCTATAAAGAAGGAAAAGAACTGCCAGAGTGCTTCTGGCATAACACCATTCATTTTTCCTGCAATGACAATTGATAGAGAATGAAGGTGCCCTCTGGGATGTGGAGGGTTCAGTTTCCTTTGACAGAGGGTTTGATTTGAAGCAAACTTAAATTATTCCACTTCAAAGGAGTGAATAAGGAATATTTTTTCTGGAATGTCAAAAACATGCACATTAACCCAAACCAATCTTCACA